GATTCATGGGGATGATAAATTAATTACGAAAGTGTATTCCAAATTTGTCGACCAAGAATCTACTACTCAGACCACTCAGACAGTTGCTCGAAACCGATGTAGCATGGCACTGGAATGATGAACAGGAAAAAGCCTTTAATGATCTGAAGAGAGCAATAACGTCAACGCCTACATTAAAATATTTCGACGTTAATGAGGATGTCAAACTTTCAGTTGATGCATCATCATATGGACTGGGTGCTTGCATCATGCAGAAGGAGCAACCTATGGCTTGAATGCAGCTGATAGAAACTATGCACAAATAGAAAAAGAGATGCTTGGAATCGTGTACGGACTACAGAAATTCAATGAGTATGTGTATGGTAAAACAGTTTCAGTGGAAACAGACCACAAACCATTAGAGAGCCTGTTTAAAAAACCATTGCCTAGTGCACCTCCACGACTTCAACGTATGATGTTGAAAGTTCAGCAGCATGATTTAGTTGTGAAATACAAAGCGGGCAAGGAACTCTACATTGCTGATAGATCAACAGGATCAGATGCAGCTGATGAACATGAAGAACAGTTTGAAGTTCATGTGATAGAGACTATTCATGTAAGTCAGGAAAAGGTTATGCTATTTCAGAGTGAAACCAAAAAAGATCCTGTTCTCATGAAATTGAAGGGCACAGTTCTACAAGGATGGCCATCAAACCGGAAGGATTAAGATAGTGAACTTACTCCATACTGGAATTTTAGAGATTAGATAAGCATTGTAGATGGCTTATTGTTGAAAAGGAGATCGTATCATTACACCAGAGCAACTTAGACCCAAGATGTTGAAAATTCTACACAGCAGTCACCAGCTGGGACAAGAGAAATGTACACAGCCAGCTAAATCAGTATTGTTTTGGCCAGGAATAATCATGCAGTTGAAGGACATGATAGAATAGTGCAACATCTGTAACCGCTACAGGAACGCGCAGCTAAAAGAGCCAATGATACCCCATGAGATCCCAAATCGTCCTTGGCAGAAAATTGCAGCTGACATTTTATTTTTTGGAAATACACGATACTTGATAACTGTTGATTACTTCTCAAAGTTCATAGAAGTCAACCGCTTACCAGATGGGAAAGCTGCCACCATTATCAACATTCTGAAGCAACATTTTGCTCGACTAGGAATCCCTGAAGAGTTCATTAGTGAAAATGAACCTGAATTAGCAAACCATGAATTTAAAAACTTTGCAAAGGATTATGATTTCCGACATATAACATTTTCGCCGAGATATCCACAGAGTAACGGTATTGCTGACCATCAAAAACCTGTTTAGGAAGGAGCAGGATGACCACAGGGATCCTTATATTGCGCTTATGAAGTTGAGAAATTCAGAAATACCAGGAGTAATGCTTTCACCGGCACAACTTTTATTTGGACGAACACAAGAACTCTTGTACCAACCCTTAAATCCAACTGGCAACCAATGAGATTTAACTCAGAACGTGTTCGCGAGGAACTCCAGAGCATTAAAGATGCACAAAAGTCTTATTATGATCACAACTCAAAACCCCTTAAACCACTTGACAACGGAAATGTAATACGTGTTAGGATTCCAGGACAGTTCTTTAAAACACCAGGAAAAGTCGTTAGACCTGCAGAAACTCCAAGATCGTATTACATACAGCACGGGAATGACACAGTGAGGAGAAACCGCCGAGACCTTATCAAAACAAAAGAACTGAGCACAGAACAACCAGTAGAAACTGAAGAGACTATCCAGTTTTGTAGTTCCAATTTGTTAGTTGTAGTTAAAAAAGTAAATGTATTGAGAGGTGTTTATTATAACGGTAAATGCAACTTTTTTCAAATGTAATTTTAACAACCGTTTCAAAGTTAACTTATAAAGGGAGATTTGACATAATTTAAATTTAAGAACAGTAACTCTTGCACTTTGTATATATTATTTGTAAATGTTATACTAGAGTTGTCTTCCCTTGTCATTCATGATGATGCTGCACATGTTTTTAATAAACTAGTTTTCATCGCCATCTTGATTCTAAATAATGCTACACCCTCCTCTGATGTTTTAGAGGTCCGTGTGTGCTCTGCTCCAAAATTTGTATTGTTTAATGGACTTTTGAGTTTGAATACTGTTCGTTATCTTCATACATTTCATGACGACCAAACAAAGCCAATGGGCTAAAAAATGAGACCAAACAAAGCCCTTGGGCTAAAAATTGAGACCAAACAAAGCCAAGATAAATAATCTTCCTGTGGAGTAAAAATAATATTTGATATTTTCTGAATAAAAATAATAATTGATATTTTCTGAATAAAACTGGCCATAAATAAAGCGGACAATTTTTCTTTTCCCTCTCCAAAACCATTTAAAGTTGAAATACTCAATTACAAAATTTTTGTACAGTTTAGGCAAAGTATTATATCCACTGAGCTGAAAAATTACTATTCTGAAGTAGAAAATTAGTAATCACTTTATCTAGGTACACCATACATGCGTTTTATGACAAACAGTGATTGTTTTTACAAAGATAGGGTTCAGTTCAGAAAAATATAAAAGATATGATCTCGATACAACATTTAATACTGATGAATGAAGAATAAATTCCCCTTAAACAATACTATTGCAGAATTCCGTTCTATATATACAAATATATACAAAGCCAATAAAACACTCGAAGTTGAAGATTTTACATCTGAAAACAATGAATGCTATAATCATCCATTTTCTATTGACGAACTTCAAAAATCTTTAGAAAAGTCTCATGATACAGCTGTAGGACCGGGCCAAATCCATTATCAAATAATTAAACACCTTCCTATAAACAGTAAAGAATGTCTTCTGCAAATTTTTAATACAATTTGGGAGTGAGGTCATTTTCCACCTTCCTGGGCCCAAGCTACTATGTCGTTTCGATTGTTTATATTTTTGCAAATAAAGAAATTAAATAAATTCCAATGTCTTGTTTTCAAAATTTAGTTAAAAGTCACTCGAAGTCCCCTAACAAAAAATACTATAGTAAACCATAGTTAACTATAATTTTCTATAGTTAACTATAGTAAATCAGTTTCAAAGTTTATTCCATAGTAATTCAAAGTTTCAAAGTTTTCACTATAGTTAATCAAAGTTCCAAAGTTTTTACTATAGTTAATCGAAGTTCCAGAGTTTTTACTATAGTAAATCAAAGTTCCAAAGTTTTCACTATAGGAAATCAAAGTTCCAAAATTTTTACTATAGTAAATCAAAGTTTCAAAGTTTTCACTATTATAGTAAATCAATGTTCCAAAGTTTTCACAATAGTTTATCAACTTATTAAAGTATTTTAATATTGTATTGCTTATTTTGTCGTTTTAGGGGGTGGAGGTGGCCCGGGGTTTGATGGGGGCTGGGGGTTGTTATACGACTTAATTTAAATTTACGAATTAGATAACTGAAATGCAATATTTACATTTATAAATTGAAAAAAAATACATGTTTACTGAAGTTGATGGAACAGATATTTTGGTTCTAAATTACACAATTTTTATTTTATAGTATATTATTATACTTTCTCCATAAAAAAACTTAGATTACATCTGCATTAAATTTAAATGCATTTAAAGAAATGTTGCTCATCTATCAGCGAGAGAGACAACCTTACATTAAAATTCATTTCTTGTACATGAAATTTTTTAGGGGAAGGGTCGGGTTTTTAAAAAGTTCTCTGATGCTCATAAAATGTCAAGAATGGGAATAAAAAAAAGCAACATAACTCCACAGATTTTACAATAGTAAATCAAAGTATCAATTTTTTTTACTATAGTAAATCAAAGTTTCAAAGTTTTTACTATAGTTTGTCAAAGTTCCAAAGTTTTTACTATAGTAAATCAAAGTGCCAAAGTTTTGACTTTGATACTATATTTAACTATAGTAAACTATAGTTAATTATAGGTTACTATAGTATTTTTTGCTAGGGTCAGGTCAGGAGATAGTAAATTATACAGAAAATGTATAATAAGGTGGTATAAAAATCATGCCTTCTAAAACAGAATGAAAAGAATTAAACACTTTAATGTCAATAATCAATTATCTTTGGATTGAAAAATATAAACCCTGATATATATCAACCCTATTCTGTAAAAAAAAAAAAAAAAAAAAAAAAAATAAAAAAAAAAATAAACTGAGACATCTTCAAAATTGGACATTCTGAAGCATGGATTTATAATGTGTTTATATCATCTACATGCGATTTAACCGTCTGTTATTAAATAAATGTAATTTCAGATAGACCTGATATTTGAGACACACGTAAAACGTGTCTCCATGCATTATGTACAATAAAGGTCAAGGTCATATTCAGAGGTCAAATGTCAAATACTATTATATCATATTCTGATTCTTTTAATGTTTTTCTTCATTGATTGTTTTTAAATCTCCAAAAATATCTGAAACCCATTGGTCATTTTTCCTACACTTTTTAATCTCTGTTCCATTTTAATCATTCAGTTAATGGATCATGCTTTTCTTTTCTAAGAAGTCTTAAAGTGTAGCATATTTACTTGAATTTGCAATTCCCGATCAGTGTATATTGTATGTTCTATTTATACATCACAGTGCACTCAAATATACTGGCATCAATATATTTTACTGAATTATAGTAACACAAAATGCTACCATTTTATACAACATCACACATATTTGTAATAGAAATATTTTATAAACACTGCACATTTTAATGTTGAATGTCTTTTTTCACCCTCTTCTTACATGGGACTGATGGGCTATATTTGAATCTATATGGCAAAGAATGTGCGGTTGAATGTTTTTTTTGTATAACACATATAATGATTTTATATCTCAGAACAAAATATCAAAGTTTCAAGGCAATTTGAATCTAAGGGAAAATTTGGCCTATCTGCTTTGTACTACCTTAATTACAATTTTAAATGTTAGCTCAAAATAAAGGGAATAATGACTGCATAAGTTAACAGTTTCGCGGATCGGTAAATGCTTCTCTAAAGATTATGAGTTCCTCGCATACTTCCACTTGATACCAAGTGGCATTCCAAATCCCAAATAAAGAAAAATACCCTGACCCGCACTGAATACTATATGCAAGATTGAAAATACTTGAAGGTCGGTAAACTTAGCAAGGAAACCAAAGACCCATGACATACCAGTCAGAGTAGATAACCGGAAGTATGCGCCAACTCTATTTTGATCCCTAGATTTTCGCATGTCTCCCTTCTTATGGATACGACTGACCGTCACAACAAACATAAAAGTATTAATACAGACAGTAATACCAACAGGTACAGCAAAAGTATAAAGTATCATATTGGATTCCGCTATGTAACATGTGCGAGGAGAATACCCTAAACTTTGACCCTCACTGAAACTATAGCTTATAATGACATTAACACCGATCATCAGAAGACAAAGAAGGGTATTAAAGAGTAGGAAACAAAGCACATTGGATTTTCCTTTTAATGTGGGTACAGTAATTTTGGTAAAAGTGTGAAAGACTTGAAAAGAGGACAAACTCATCCAAAAGACAACTGACAACCAGGAAAAATGAATTAATACACCAGCTGCAATACACAAAAGTTTGGTCTGTAAGAAAAAATTTGAGAAAGTGTAAATAGTGTTTGCAATAATCAGGAAGAGAGATAGAATGATAATATTAGCCCCAGCGGAATTTATAGGGTCTTTCTGTACAAGGTAGGATATGATAGTGAAGAGAGATCCACAAGATGATAAGGAAAGACAAACGACGGACAAATAAATATTCACGTCATTATCTGAGATCCTTTTTTGGGCGGACATTCGATTTGTAGCTCGTTTATACCAGTCGAGGCAAACCTCAAATTGTTGACTGCTATAATCTTTTTTAAAAAATCGGGAGGGAATGCAGTGGTCATAGTCTAAAAGACACAAGGAATTATTTATCAGTCTTATTTTGGTATCTTCTGTGGATATCTTCACCTTCAGACAACGGTACCAATCGGCCACAACTATTGTCGATGATACTTCTGAACAAAGAAATGAATTTTCATATTCTAAACTAGACAATGGAAATATTTGTGTGAAAGTCGTGGGATTAAGATACTGGTGACAAGGAGAATATATGAAATGCTCATTATTCTTTCTCAAATGGAACCTTTGTCCTTGTATAGAACTTGAAACTTTCATGTTATAACCATGTACATAATCGAGAAAAGTTAGTGCACTATCTTTCTCAAAAATATGTATTAGGTTTTCGATCATTTTATCGATGTCATGTCTTTTATTTATGATGAAGCCAATGAGAGCTCCAAAATACCATTCATTATTCTCGTCAAGTCCAAAGACATGTATTACACACAAGTACTCGCTAAGGTTATTACGTGTCACTTTGTTCTTTAAAATATTCATCAGATGTGGTGCTAATTCATCAAGGGTTTGTTTTTCAACTTGACGCGACGGTTTGAAAATCATACTCAGCTCGTAGTTATTTTCTCTCCACTCAAAGAATTTAGGACGACATTCCAGGCTCTGGTCTAAATTATATTCTTCTTCACAGGTTAGATCCAGACATTTTCCCTGAAATATTAATGATAGCTTCTGTGTATCACATTTTTGCATTTGTCGGAAATGTGTACATCTGTACATCTAAGGAGCAAAATCATTTATATTCACAAGAAATATCAATCAATTAAAATATTTGAAGATAAAAAGATAAAATGACAATGTTAATGCAGTGCTTAAATATCTTTTCATCACTGGAAGGAACATTTTGTCTCGGCAGTATTGAAAACAAATTATCATTTATTATCCCCTCTCCTTTAAATGTTGTAGATAAGTCTAATATAAAGATGCATTTTTCATCTGAATAAGATGGCCCCTGTTCATTCATTCATTATATATATATATATATATATATATATATATATATATATATATATATATATATATATATATATATATATAACACTTACCATATGGTTATCATATATTTGACCCCAAGCACAAGGTTCATTCCTCCGTGTTGGTCTATTTGTTTCTTTGTCAAAATCCAATAAAGCCGAAAAAGTTCTAAAGTAAGTAAACCTATGATTATTGTCTTCTTTACATTCGATAGGCATGTTATTTAGGGATTTGAAAAGTGATTCTTGATGACACAAAGCACAGAATACATTCTTGAAAGTGAGGTCACAATTAGTGTAAGGTATATGGTATTTATCGCACGCCTGAATTAAGTACGCTCTGTCTTCTTCTTGTGTCTTTGAATAGCGACATGGCTCATGGCGTGCGTAAACACACGGTTTGATTGTTTCCTGTATTGTACTTGGTGGATAAAACAACACATTGCATCTTGGATTTTCATTGAACACGAATTGCAGGAGTTCATCCTGAGTTTTTTTCAGTAAAAGATCGGACCTCTTTATGCAAAGAACCTGGTTTTGTTTCCAAAATATTAAATCTAATATGCGTTCATTGTGGCATATTGCACAATGGATATTTCTGTAGGATTCATTTGTAGCAAGGGAGGTAACTGGTGTGGAAAGAGATATGTTTCTTGCCTGTAATTGAGACAAATTACAACTATCCCCATTGGGGCAGTTTTCGATTAACCAGTATGACTTTCCATGGAACCCAGGGTGTGTGTTCCAGAATGGTTGTACGCAGGATAATGATGGAAGTCTTTTGGTGCTGTCTCGAGGAATATCATCATCATCATTGTTGAGGAATTTGGAAGGACAACAGCTCGATTTTCTGACACAGGAGTCGTCACAATCGCAGGGGGTGCATGATGGAGTAAAATTAAAAGTATGCCGTCGTTTTAAGTGTTCATCATGACACATATCTTGTCCTGGACAAAAGACCAAATACTGTGAAAGTATTTCTCTTGCTGTTCTATTATGTATGTCAGACGTCACTTGGAATGCTTCATAGATGTCATCATTTGTCGGATAGATATTCCGGGAAATTTCTAAGCGTCCAATACAGAGCCTCAACAAACACAATGACGTCATAAATGATAAAATCTAAAATAAAGCAGAACAATTTTAAACAAATAGTTGATGTCAATAACTGTAAAACCTGTGATATTTTGATTACTGGCTCTTAGTTTTCTAGTAATCTTACCGGACAGAGATTCTATACCAAAACTTGAAAAAAATCTGAATTGCAAATCTTCTAATGTTGTCTACGATATAGAATGTACCCTTTGTGGGCTTATATATATTGGTGAAACCAACGGTTCACATAATATAAGAACATCGAGTCATAGATTTCAGATTAACAACGGGGGCTAGCAGCTGCTATACAAGCATTTTAATTTACCTGATCATTCTATTTTGTCAATAGAAGTTAGAGTTCTAGGAAAGATTTAACATCATACTAATAGCCCATCACTGAGTACACCTTTCCGTAGACAACGAGAAGAATACTGGATTAGAAAACTAGGCACGGACTTTCCATATGGTAGCAATGACAATGTTGATAGTGTTGGGAATCTTTCAAGCCCACATTGTAGCAATGTGAAAGTGATGTGACTTTTCAACAGTACAAATAGACGTTAGCGTAGTAATAGACATTGCTCTTACAATAAAGTTATTATACACGATGTCTCTTTTGATTCACTATTACCTTATTTAAGTAAACAATTAGGCCTTCATCACATTCGTACCTAACTTTAGTCTGTCCCTTTGAAACTTTTGAATAGTCTATTTGAAAAGTCAAGGAAAGTCCTCTACACCAGAACACAGGTCCGCATCTGTGATTATGGATATTGCAAATCATAGGCTTTTTAAATCGCCACGTTTTACGGAAGAAAATACAGCTAAATCTACTCGTTTTTCCTTAAACTTCAATATGCCAACAAAGGAATTGGCGCGGTTAATATAAGTAATATTCTTAATCATAAAAGGGTCCAGTCTTGTATTCCACCATATTTCCAATTGAAGACTACACCCTGTATTTCCTTTTAATATACATCGACTATTACTTCTAAACATTTTAATTGCAGAGCCTGATCTTTCAGCTGAATCATAATTTGATTAATATTATGAATTATGTGAAAGATCACGCCAGACAATGGGCCAGACATGAAAAAGAAGACCTTGACACTTTGTCAAAATGGATTAAATGTATCAGAAGTATGTTAAAATCTCGCATCAAGCGATTGAGGGGCAATATGGAAATCATCAATCCTTCTGTGTTCAATAATTCGTAAGTGAAAAAAAAGAATTAAATAGACTACACGATCAGTATGTACTGGTCCCATCTGATAAGGCAGGTAACAACATTGTCTTTGTTTGTAAGGCTCATTATTTAAATTGTATTTTAGAAGAACTGGAATTTAATTGTACGAGTGACAATCCAACTTATACCCATAGCTCCCTTTCTAAGGAGGAAATTCTTCAAAATCATATGTCAGTTTTGAACATTTTTAGTATTACTAACAAACAAAATTAATCTGAATTAGCATATTTATACTGGATTCCGAAACTTCATAAAAATACTTAGAACAAAGATACATAGCGGGTTCCACTAAATGTTCTACAAAGCCCCTTTCTTTACTCCTCACTAAAATATTAACAGCAGTGAAGGAGAAACTTCAGGAGTGCTGTGCAACAACATATTCGAGGAGTGGTGTAAATCAGTTGTGGATACTAAAATTTTTCACGGAACTTTTGGAAAATTTGATATTACAAAATTTTTACAAAAATCAGTAACGTTAAAACTTATGACTTTTCAACTCCGTGTACAACCATTCCTCACGATAAATTAAAGTCCGGTCTTTTTGATATCATTGACAGCTGCTTTTTCAATAAAAATGGAACTCGTAAATCTGCTTACCTTGTCATTGGTCATTTGCAAAATTATTTTGTCAGAAAACATTCTGACTGTACACACAAGTACTCTGAAGTTGATATTAAAAAGATGCTTGAATTTCTATTTACAATACATGTATCTATGTGGTGTCTTCCAACAATCTGTTGGAGTTCCCATGGGTATCAATTGCACCCCTAGCAGAACTATTTTTGTATTTATATGAAGCAGAATTTATTCAAAATCTTTCTTAACGAAATCTCTTGCTGTGGCCTTCAACTCGACATTTAGATATATCGACGACGTATTGTCAAGTAATAATTATATAGTTATTTCCATTCATATGATATATACGATATATCCCAGTGAGCTTGAAATAAAAGATTTCACAGAGTCTGACATATCTGTTTCATATCTGGATATTTTACTAGAAAATACGGTTATTGTAATCTAACAACAAAGCTTTATGATAAACGTGACGACTTCAATCGTCAACGCAGTACAGTTAAGGTGCCAAATGGAAATATCGGCGAATTTTTTAGATAGAAAATACATTCTTTACAAGGATGGGCGTTTCTTTTTAGGACTTAACCATTATGGGACAAATGCAATGTGGTTGAAAACTACATGTTGAGGACGATTAGATTTCTTATTTAGACTTGTCACGTGATGTGGCACTCACGGCATTTTAGCAAATATACCTGAAGTTTTGAAGTCATCTATAAATTCTAATATTGCAAGGGCATAACCAAGTTTAAAACTTAGTTTAACATATAATCATTTTCAACTTTCTTTGTAGTTTGTGAAAAGTGCTGCAAACCTATATAGATTCTACTATCTAATCGCTAAAATTACATTTGTTAGACCGTATGTTGAATATTTTGCTGGTCAAGTATATTTAATATAGATATAATTAAGTCATTTGCAAGATTTCAACAGGTTCGCAGCACTTTTCAAATATCTTCATACTTCTTGAGTTTATGTGTAAAAGCTTGTCATAATTCATTGAGGGTATGCCCTTACAATATATCGATTTATTACGACCCTTCTATTACCCTTCAATGAATCTGCATACAAATATACGGCAGTATCGCTTGTCTAGGGAGTGTACGTTAAGTATATTGATAAAATCATAAAATAGACATCGCATCCAAGTTAATGGCCTCTTATATATCTACCATTTATACTTTATTTAATTTTAAAATGCATTTTTCATTATATAAATATAACTTGATCCGCCTCTCACTGTATACAAACTACATCAAATTTTACGATATGACGTCACATTGACAAGTACATTGCGATCAGTGAATTGTTTATACATTGTTGTGTGGGATTTAACCAACGACAATAATGCATGCACTAGTTAGTATTGATGTAGTTTAAAGCTATTCAACAGTTTAGAATAGCAAATCATTTCATTTTGTGTTAATTTGAAGAACTTATATTTTTGTGTGATGTCATAGTAAGCATTTCCCGTATAAATTAGGCCCCGCCTCCTTACTGCAGCCTTAACTGTGCTGCGAACTTCCCTTACTTATGCAGCAATATACTCCCATCTCCTGCATATTGGGTGTATATTTCCCAGTTGATTCGATACGCAAGAGCAAGCTCTACGTATGAACAATTTCTAAAACGAGGTAAGTTATTGACAAAAAGTGGATGAAACAAGAATATCAATAGTCTTTTTTAAAGTTTCGTAAGTTCTATGGTCGATATTATGACCTTGTCGGCAAATACAATCTATCGTTAAGTCGTATGCTGACTGACATTTTTTGTGCTGATTGTTAAGCCATTATTTACACACT